ATCAGTAAGGTTCCGGCCACATTTTCCTCCTTTGGTGGCTACATGATGTCTCTTTGACTCTGCCTACTCTCTCTCTCTTTCTCTCTGTTCTTATTTCCTGCCTGGCTTTGTTCTGTCCTGCTATAGGCCAAAGCAGCTTTTTTTTATTAACCCATGGTAATAAAACATATTCACAGCATACAGAGGGGAATCCCACAACACTATACTCTGTTGCTTCAAAAAGTAGGCTTGTGTGTGTAGAACATTTTTATGAATTAAGAGGAATAAAATACCAACTACTAATTCTTATTTTAAATGACTATGTTTCAATAGTGCACAGAATATATTTTATAGGGGAGTTATATATTTATGTTTGATAAAAATTATACTTAGAGTGAGTTTAGCAAATATTTAGAATGGTTACAACACCTTAAATAAACCATGGCTGTAATCTTGACACATACAGTTTAGTTTATTGTCATTTAAATTACCAGTTTTGATCCTATAGTGTTAAAAGAATAACTGTGAAAGGGCTCCCATCTTACAGGTCTATGTGAAATAGAAAATTCTAGAGCCTAGAGGGATGATTCAGGCTTAATGGTGCATACTGCTCTTGCAGAGGCCTCAAATCCAGTTCTCAGCACCCACATCAGACAGCTCACAACCTCCTGAAGCTCCAGACTGGCCATTGGGCCTCTGTTGGCATCTGCACTCGTGTGTATATGCTTCTTCCCACAATACATGTAATTTAAATAAAATATACAAAAAAAGCCTATATATATGTACTGGCTAATTTTTATGTCAACTTGATATAAGCTAGGGTCATCTGGGGAGAATCTTTTTGTTTTCTCTTTCTTTCTTTCTTTCTTTCTTTCTTTCTTTCTTTCTTTCTTTCTTTCTTTCTTTCTTTCTTTCTTTCTTACAGATAATTCCCACTTTTATTTTATCAACAGGAATTTTACCAAGTTTGATTATAGGTCGGTATCCCAGACTTCACTGGAAGACTTGGATCATAATTCAAAACTATGCATATTCTATAAAATAGATGGCTTTGAGTGTCGCAGATACAAAGTTGTTGGCAAGAGAGCCTTCAGTTACTGTCATCTTAGTGGATAGAAAACTACAGAGACTTCTGGAAGTAGGGAAACTTCCTGCAGGAGAGCAGTGAGCTGAACCTTAGCGAATGTTGTCAAAGGAGGCAGATGTAGTTCCAGAGAACCACTGCCTTCATGATCTGTGAGTGGTGGTCACTGTCATGTGCTTGTATGGCCTTGTGCCAATACCAGCATCCTAAGAAGAATCAGCAGTCCACGAAACATACATGGGAAGAAGTGTCATCAGCATCTAAGAAGCAATCTATGAGTTAGCCATTGTCATCACTTCAGGAAGCTTATGGAAGAAAGCAAAAGGTGATAATTTAATAAGATACAAAGTCAAATTCTGGTTGTCCACCAGACAGAATATCTCTTTTCCATCAAGTTATGTATATAAGCAAAATTCTACTCAGGGTCCCAGTGGGGATGTGAATTCATTCAGATACTTGAAACTAAATTTAGCCTCCTCCACTCTTCCCCAAGCCTTCTTTCTTTTCTTTTTAAAATTTATTATTCTTATTTTATTAACTTTTTAAAATTTATTTTATATCTCAACCACAGTTTCTTCTCCCTCCCCTCCTCCTGTCATTCCCCCTCCTATCTCTTTCCCCTCCACTCGCTCCTCTATTCAGAAAGGTGCAGGCCTCCCATGGACTTGAACAAAGCATGGCTCATCAACTTGAGGCAGGATGGAGCTCTTCTCCCTGCATCAAGGCTGGACAAAGTAATCCAGCATGGGGAACCGGATCCCCAAAGACAGATAAATCACAGAGACAGGTCTTTATCTTATTGCAAGCAGCCTTACAAAGAGACCCAGCTATACAACTGTTACACACATGCAGAGGGGCATAGGTTGGTCCCATGCAGGCTCCCTAACTGTTGGTGTAGACTCCATGAACTCCCATGAGCTCAGGTCAGCTGTCTCTATGGGTTTCCCTGTCATGACCTTCCCCCCCCCCCCCCCCCCGGCTCATACTATACCATCTCCCTTTTTTCAGCAGGACTCCCAAAGCTCGGCCCAGGAAGACAGAATCATTTTTTTTTTTTATTGTCAGAAGGAATCTTAATCAACTAAATGCTTCTGTAGGATTGGCCTGTAGCAAATCTGTAGGACGTTTCTTGATTGTTGATTAACATGGGAGCACCAAGCTCTGTGTGCAGTGCCACTTCTGGGCAGGCAGTTCTGGGCGGTGTAAGAAAGGCTGAGGAAACCATGAACAGTAAGCCACAGTAAGCCAGTAACCAATGTTTCTCCCTGACCTTGGCAGCAGTTAGTTCCTTCTTCCCTGGATGAGGATCTACAAGGTGAAATAAAACTTTTTTCTTTTCTTTTTTATTCTCATGGTGTTTCATGGTGTTTTATCACAGCAGGAACCTCGGACTTTCTTTTTTTGTCCTTTGAAGAACTTGTCTTTGTGGTAGAGTCACTTACATTTTAATTTTTGTTATTTCTGCAGTTCCTACAACTTTGTAGCCATCTCACAGATGAGATCTGTCAGTGAATATCCCAGCTATTCATTTTTTAGTATTTCGAATGGTTCCAAAGTAATCTACTGGTGTGTATTTATTTCATGCCAATTTGAAACATCTTGACTCTGCTTTTCTGGCCAAATATGGCCTGAAAGAGGGTTTGATGCCAGTAGTGGTTCCACATGCCCAAGCATCAAGTCAGTGAAGGAAGAAGACAAGAAGACCTTTCTTTTCACTTTCTGCTTGGAGAGAGATTATGGATCAGGTTGCGGCAGAAAACTCCCAGTACAAGACAGAAGGTTCATGAGGCTGAGGATGCAGTTATCAAAGTTCAGTAGATCGACGCAGGTAGAAATTTGAAGCACTAACCTAGAAAAGGGAATTAGATGGAGACAGAGATCCAGAATTCTATGCAGGGATTTTCACAGGTCTTTGCTTGAATACTGAGTTGTTCTTCATAGCGTGAGACTCCGTTAAGTCAGGCAGTGAGAAACCAGTAGAAAGTTCTGAGTGGCAGAATCTGTAGAGCTCACACAGGGTATAATAGATTGTGTTTTGAAAAATGACAGTGGAGAGACTTTTTCTAACAGTCAAAGGATTCATCTTAAAAACAGGGATTAAAATGATCAGATTGATATGAAAACATCTCGAGAAAACAGGACCCAACAGTCTTTAAAGAGAATCAAAGCATCCAGATTCTGGACTACCTAGTAATCATGTTTGGCATTCAGTAAAAATTGCCAGTCCCATGAAGGACCAGCGCATCGGGGACAGGAAAACAGTAGAAACTTATCTCGAAGTAGCAGAGAGAATTAAGTTTCTGACAAGAATGTTCAAACAACCACTAGAGTTCTTTCCAGGGACTAAAGGGGAAACAGACATTATTATAAGAGAAATCGAAGCTATGAAATAACAACAATTCTAGGGATAAACTGTGGCCTGAAGGGACAAGACGGTGTAGAATTAAAAAGAAATCAGAAACAGTGTTGGGCAATGGTGGCGCATGCCTTTAATCACAGCACTCAGGAGGCAGAGGCAGGCAGATCTCTCTGAGTTCAAGGCCAGCCTAGTCTACAGAGTGAATTCCAGGACAGGATCCATAGTTACTGAGAAGCCCTGTCTTGAAACACACACACACACACACACACACACACACACACACACACACACACACACACAGAGCCAGAGAATGCACAGGTAAAAATAATCACAACCCAAAAAATATAAATAGATAAATAAATATTGTAGTGGTTTGAATGAGAATGACTCTCATTGGCTCATATATTTGAATATTTGGTCCCCAGATGGTGGAACTGTTTGAGAAGGATTAAAAGGTGTGGCCTTGTTGGAGAATGTGTGTCACTGTAGGGGATGGGCTTTGAGTTTAAAACGCTCTCTGCCTCGTGGTTATCATCTCAGGATGTGAGCTCTCAAGTACTGCTCCATTGCAATGCCTGCCTGCCTGCTGCCATGCTTCCTGCCACAATGGTCCTGGACTCTGTCCCCCTGAAACTGTAAGCTCCCATAAATTCTTCCTTATATAAGTGACTTTGATGATGGTGTTTTGTCACAGCAATAGAAAAGCAACTAAGACAGATATGAATTCAGACAGAAAAAAGTAGAAACTTAGTTATTTGTGAGACAATATAAGAGTATAAAATATTGAATTGGATTTCAGGAAGTGGGCAGAAAATATTTAAAGAAATTATAATCCAAATTATTTTGTGTTAGATGATACTGATAAAACTACATAAACAAGAAATTTAGCAAGCATAAAGCAAAACATTAAAGAATATTACTTTTAAGGAACATTATAATCACATTTTTGAAAAGCCAGGTTAAAGGAAAATCTTATAAATGTCTACGTTATGCTATCAGGTGAGGTGAGGAAACAAACCTAGGAGTGACCTGTCACTTCTCGTGAGAAGAAGGACAGGCCAGAAACATAGGGAGCAACATTTCTAAACTATGGAAAGGAGAATCAAGTTTCTCAGTGCAGAAGTTCTTTTTTTTTTTTTTTGGAACCAGAAATTTTATTTAATCCACCTTCATTTATTAACATTCTAAACACTATAATCCAAATTAATCTCTTTGTGACCCCGACTTGTGATAGGCACCATCAGTAACCAAACAGTGACAGACCTTAGCGTATTTGCTTTTTCCAGCCCCTTTTAACCTCTAGCTGTCACCTGTCCCTTCTTGGTTAATTATCTCTTAATTCTAACCCCTGTGAAATGGGGACCAAAAGTACCAACCTCAGTATTCTGAGATTTAAAGAGACGGCCCAATGGTAAATAAGTCAAGCTCTGAGGAACCTTCCAGCTCCAGTGGTTCCCATTCTCTGGTAGAGCTCCTTCTCCGGTCCTGGGCTGAGAAACCAACCACACAGCTCTAAAGACCAAGTGAGACCCTGGATGGTAAAGTGCGTGGGCTCGTGACCACCACTAGCCACATCCACCCTCAGGGCTTCCAAGGCTCATGTCCCCTGCAGATGGCTCCTGACTGGAGACTCTCAGTTCCCCTTTCCACACCTGGAACCATATGAAGGACACAACAGAGGCCAAAGACAGAGTACCCAGCCCCAGTGGACAAACATTGATGAAGCAACTGCGAAGTTGGTGACATGTGTTCTTGGGAAAGAGATAGGGCCTGGAACAAGGATGGCAGCTGGAAGGTGAAGGGCAGTCCTGGCTCTCAGTAACAGTAGTGATCAGGCTTGAAGGGGCCATCAGTGGGCATGCCCAGATACTGGGCCTGCTTCTCAGTCAGCTTGGTCAGCTTCACATTCAGCTTGCCCAAGTGGGCTTCGGCCACTGCCTCATCCAGCTTCTTAGGCAAGAAGTGAACCCCAATGGGGTATTTATCTGGGTGGGTCCACAGCTCAATCTGTGCCATCACCTGGTTTGTGAAGGAGCTGCTCATCACGAAGCTGGGATGGCCCATGGCACACCCCAGGTTGATCAGTCGGCCTTCAGCCAGCAGGATGATTCGGCGCCCATTCTTCAGCCAATAGTGGTCCACCTGGGGCTTGATGTTCACCTTCTCCACAGCATTCTCATTGAGCCACTTCACATCGATCTCCACATCAAAGTGTCCAATGTTAGACACAATGGCATCATCCTTCATCTGCTCAAAGTGCCGGCCAAGGATGATGTCAACACAGCCTGTGGTGGTGACAAAGATGTTGCCCTCCTTACAGGCCTCGTCCATGGTGGTCACCTCATAGCCCTCCATGGCAGCTTGCAGTGCATTGATGGGGTCAATCTCGGTGATGATGACTCGGGCCCCAAAACCCCTCAGGGCCTGGGCACAGCCCTTGCCCACGTCACCATAGCCTGCTACCACTGCCACCTTGCCCGCAATCATCACATCTGTGGCCCGTTTGATGCCATCTATGAGGGACTCCCGGCAGCCATAGAGGTTGTCAAACTTGCTCTTGGTGACAGAATTATTGACATTGATGGCAGGCCCCTTCAGTATCCCATTGGCCATCATCTTGTAGAGGTTGTGGACCCCAGTCGTGGTCTCCTCAGAGATGCCTCTGATGCCTGACAGAAGCTGTGGGTATTTGGTGTGGATGAGGTTGGTGAGGTCGCCTCCATCGTCCAGAATCATGTTGAGGGGGCCATCTTTGAAGTGCAGCGTCTGCTCAATGCACCACAGGTACTCTTCATCTGTCTCACCCTTCCAGGCAAACACTGGAATGCCGGCCTTGGCAATGGCAGCTGCTGCGTGGTCCTGAGTGGAAAAGATGTTGCAGCTGGACCACCGCACCTCAGCACCCAGGGCCACGAGAGTCTTGATGAGGACTGCAGTCTCCACAGTCATGTGCAGGCAGCCAGCGATGCGGGCACCCTTCAGTGGCTTGGACGCAGAGTACATCTCCCGCATGCGCATCAAACCGGGCATCTCGTTCTCGGCTATGTCCAGGGCCTTTCGTCCCCAGGCAGCCAGTCCAATGTCCGCGACTTTGTAGGGCAGTTTTTCAGACATGCTGGTGGCTTCCGCAACGACTGATGAACTCAATGAAGGGGGCCGGACGGCGCGGGGCAGGCAGTGCAGAAGTTCCTATCACAAACATATTTATGTTTAATTTATGTGTGCAAGTATTTTTCTGCACGCATTTTGGTGTGCTACATGCAGGCCTGGTACCCACACAGGACAGAGAAGGCGTCAGATTCTCTGGAACTAGAGTCACAGACAGTTGTGAACTGCCATGTGTGTTGGGGAATATTATTTTAAGGTGTGTTACTTCTGTTTATGCTGCATTTGTTTAACTCTCTAAAGCTGTGGTTCTTTGCCTGTCTAAAACACCTAATGGTCTAATAAAGAGGTAAATGGCCAACAGCAAGGCAGGAGCAAGGATAGGCAGAGCTGGCAGGCACAGAGAATAAGTAGAAGGAGAGCTGAGGAAAAAGAGGAGCAAGAGAACAAGGAGAGGAGGACATCAGGGGCCGGCCACCCAGCTACACAGCAAGCCATGGGGGAAAACGTTTAAAAAGGTAATAGAAAGATAAGGGGGGAAAAGAAGTATAAAGATAAAAACCCAGAGGCAAAAGGTAGTTGGGATAATTTAAGAAATGCTGGCAAGAAACAATCCAAGCTAAGGCCAGGAGTTCATAACTAAGAATAAGCCTCTGTGTGTAATTTAGTTGGGAGCTGGGTCCCTCAAAAAGCCCAAAGAGTAAAACATCACACAACACGTGTGGGTGCTGGGAGTTGAACCCGGGTCCTCTGAAGGAGTAGCCAGAGCTTTTTTAACTGCGGAGTCTTTTCTCCAGCCCCACAGATTATTTCTATTAACTCTAGAGACAAATGAGAATTATTTTTAGACGAGAATTTTTGCTATAACAAGTAGGTCAACAATACAAAAAGAGAGGAAAGGGTATTCTTTATAAAACAAACACAATGTTGTTGCTTTTAAATTATTTTGGGTTAAAGAAATGCATAAAGCAACAAATAAACTAGACACAGATAAGTCAGCCCTGAGGGTGTGAGAATAGGAGAACTGGTGGACCCCCCCCCCCATCTTCCATTTGGTGGCATGGGTGAGGGAAAGATGCCCCCCCCTTGCCACCTGCGGCAGATAGAGAATCTGGCGTTGTGGGCCCGAGAGTGGGAGAGCTGGGCCTGCCCCTTACCAACCGCAGCACTTTGGAGAGCAGGCCTTGATGGTGTGTATATGTGGGTGGCCTGGTCCAGAGGGTGCGAGAGCAGGAGAACTGGTCGGGGTCCTGGCTGTCTGCTACACTGGGTGAGCTAGCTGGGGGCAGTGCTGGAGAGCTTGCCTTGGTGGTGGGGATGAGGGAGAGCTTGAAGACTGGCCAACCCAGATACCACCCAGGCCCAGAACCAGGACTGTGAGCTAACCCTCCCCATCACCCACCTCATCTATGAACTGCTGGGACGTGCAAAGGGGCTAGGCCTGCAGACTCAAAGCTGCGGGGTCTCCATTACACAAGGCAACAACGGAATATCCAAGAGGAATCCCAGTGAGGGCCCTGGATCTAGGGGGGTGGCAGAAGCCAAAAGGCTCTAACGAGGCCAATGACTCACTGCAATTAATACTTAAAGAAAAGATGTATGTATGGACTAAGGGTTTACTGTGCAGTTCTCTGTGCCACACTACAGCTTCCATGCTGAGAATTTGTTTGTCTATTGTTTTTGTTTAAAATTTTTATTTTTGGGGGTTGGTGGAAGGGCTGAAGGTAGATTCCAAGGGATGGGGAAATGGATAGGATCGAGATTCATGAGGTAAAATCCACAAAGAATCAATAAAAAGTTAAACTGTGAGATTTTACTTAGTACAAAGTGTTTTAAAAGTAAGAACCTGGCGGATGAGGATTGACTTCATGTGTGACACGGCACGATATCATTCCATGGTCAGCTACGACAGGATAAAGATGCATACCGTACAATCCCCTGCAGTGAGCAAGAACGGAAGAGAAAGGGACGGAGTGAAGGAGAGGAGGAAGGAAGGCAAGCAAGAGAGCAGAGCAAAAGAGAGCTCACAACAGTTTTAGATGATACTAAAAACTGAAAAGCTACCCACCAGCCTCAGAGCCAAAGACTAGCAAAGAAAAGCTCATGTCATATCAGGTAAGTGTGAAGGACATAGCAAGGTGGTACACTGAAAACCAGTTATGATAATGACACTCTTCCACCAATTGGTGTAAGCAGTCAAGTAAAAACATTTGTCAGAAAGGAGAGAAAAAACAAAATATCTCTGTCTGAAGAGTGAATCACACGATGCACAAGTTAGTATCACAAAGTAGAAGTCTCTGTGTAGTACCAGGGAAGACAGACAGAGTGCAGATATCTGTGGAGATACAGGGGGATAGTGTTTCATAATAATAAAATATCCACAAAGAATTTGTACAATGCTTTTTGTTTTTTTTTTTTTCAAATTTCAAAGCTTCAAAAGATATGAAGCAAAAAAAATGACAGAACTGAAAAAAAATTGGGAAAATTTCAAATCATATTAGATAGCTTCAGCATGTACCTTTATAGTGACTAGAACAGTAAAATCAATAAGGGCATAGAAGGCTTTAGTTGGTTTTACTTAAATGGAGTTTATTGACCGCTACCCCACCTTTAACAGACAGCACCCTCTCTCCAAGCACAAATGGAACACTAATTAATACAGATAATATTATAGTAAATAAAACAAGTCTCAGTTGTCCGGAAAGAAAACTCACAGCTTAAATGACTTTAGGAAAAGTCCACCAAAGACTGGGTTTAAAAAAAAATAACAAAAACAACAAAACCCAAATCAAAATAGCACTATGTTAACTCTTTCAGAAAATAGAAGTATCTCCTCCATTTCTCTGTGATATTACCAATCTCCTGTTCTTATGAAAACTTGAAATATAGATGATAAAAATGAAATTAACAGTAAAGATACCCCACAAACAGGTGGAAAAATTCTCAGCAAAATAAAGGCAAACAGATTGGAGCAATGTAGCAAATGACAGTAAACCACGGCCAAGCAGAGTTTGTCTAAGCAAAGCAACACCAGTTCAATATTTTAAGCCATTGATACAACTGATCAGATTAACAGAGCAAGGGAGAAAAGACACATGATTATCTCAAAAGATAGTAGAAAAGACTTTGATATAATTTCACCATCACAATAGTGACTTTAGCAACTTAGAAACTATAAAAAGACTTCTTCAAGTTGGTAAAAACAACCCATAAAAATCCATTACTAACACAATGCTTAATGGAGAATATTTTCTCATTTGGAAAACAGAAACATGGCAAATCACTTGTTTTTCTATGATTTCACTATGGGATATAGCCAGCATATTAATTTTTAAAAAGTAATCAAAATCTTATGCTTACAAAATAAAAAATTAGAAGACATTAAAATACCAATTTAAATGGATACAATATCAGAGTATAGGACAAATAAAAAAGCCAGTTGTGGTTTTATATGTCAGTATCAAAACTAAAAATAATAACAAGAAATATAATGAGAAACAGCATTAAAATACAAGTAGGGATCATTTTTAACAATCTGTGAAAAATATTTACACCAAAACCAAGAAAAGAATGGCTACTGTTGCTACCACTATTTGATATCTTGCTAGTGATTTAGTCATATAGTTGAACAAGAGAAAGAAGTAAAAGACAATTAAATTAGAAAGAAAATAAATAAAAATATAACATACACTCCATCAACTATAGAAGGGCTACTAGAATAAATAACCATTGTTAGCAAAGTTCCAGGAAACAAGGCGAACATACAAAAATCCGTTGTGTTTCTGCACATTAGTAACAGGCAATGAATCATCCTAAGGGAAACCATTCAATTTACAAAATAATTGAAAAGAATAAAATGCTTCAGAACATATTTATCTTGGACTGGGTAAGATTTTCACATTGAAAACTACAAAACATTGCTGAGATTAAAAAATAAAGGTCATATCAAGTGGGAAGGTGTCTCTTGATAGGGTTGTAGGCTTACTATTGCTAAAATTGCTAGGCTTCCCCAAGCAATCTTCAGAATCATTTTAATTCCTATCAAAATCTCAAAATGATGTTTTTTTAGGATATGGAAAGCTAATGTTAAATTTTGGTTGAAAATGTTAAGAATCACCAGCTTTTATTAATAATCGAATCCCTGAACACCTATACCCCTCACGCTGCAGAACGCGATGCTGGACTGTGACACTCATGACTTCATGCAGTTAAACCTGAGAAACAGACGCAGAAAGAAAGAAAGGAAGAAAGAAAGAAAGAAAGAAGGAAGGAAGGAAAGAAGGAAGGAAAAGAAAGAAAGAACTCAAACGTTTCAGAAGCCTCACCAGACCTGAAGAGGCTCACCTGTGGTCAAAGGTTACAGGATTTTCGCATCTTAGAATGGCGAGGAACCCTATTCAAGGTGCAAGAAAGTCAGGCATGCGCACACTCATCAAACCGGGAGTGACTCTTCTGTCTGTGTCCTTGCAACCCACATATAAGACTCTGCTTTGTCATGGCGTGTTTGGATTCAATGACTTAGAGGTCTTAGGTTGCAAGCAGGAAATGTTTCTCGGAGGGAAAACAACACTAATTTTATTGACCTGAATTTGAGAATAACATGACCTCCTTGAGATAGTCAAGCCATTCATCTACTACGCAGAGAAGAATGCCAATAAGCTAACAGTTGCCTGATATGGCAAAAGTTTACAATGTTGACACCTATTGATTAAGCTTCTTAGAAATTTGGTGCCCACATGAGTGTGTGTGTGTATGTAGACCAGAAGTCAACCTTATGTGTTGTTTCTTGGGTACCTTCCATTTTCTCTGAGACAAGGTCATTCATGGGTCTATAACTAACCAAATTCGATAAGCTTGTTGGTCAGTGGTCCTTGGGGAGCCTCTTTTCTGTCTCTGCAGTACTGGAATTACAAGTTTATGCCATCAACCTGGATTTCTTTTTTAATGTGGATTATCAGGATCTAATTCAGATCTTCAAACTTGTAAGGGAAGGATTTCGCCAGCTCTTACTTTCAAAGCTACTTCTAC